GGTCAAGGAACTGTAAAATGATTCGCGCGGTGGTAAACACGCGTCCTCCAACTTTTCGACGCAATCAACGTACTCGTACGGAAAGACACCCTTTCGTGTCAATAGATTGAAATCTTCCATCGATAACTTTGAAAAATTTGAACGTGTAATTTTCAAATTATCCATGCTGAGAAGAGACGCTAGTTTGTCGAGACTGGCAGTTAAAAATTTGTATGAATCGATGAATCGCAATTTCATACAATTTCGCCAATCTGATTTTTCAGCGATGCCTGTGACATGTTTGGTGAAGGAAATGTATTTTTCCTTCGTAATTGGAAGCAATTCTACATGTCCTTCGAACGCCGTAGCTATTTCTTTGACAATGAAATGCGAATCGTAACCGGATAAATTGTGGAAGACCACAGGAATACAATATAAATTTTTATAATTTAAATTACAGTTCGAATGCGCGGGGTCTCTATATCTTCCGGTCAAATGGCAGTGATCGCGTACTCTATCGTCACCCAGTGCGAACGGTTTTTGACATATGTGGCAATGCATCGCGCTACGGTATGCCCTCCACTGTTCCTTCGACAAATTTTCCATTGGGACATTATTGAACAACTTTTCTTTTACATGTTGTGATAACACTTTGAGTTGCTCGACGAACCACGTGATGCAATCTTTATCGCGACGAGATTGGTATGTGGACAATGAATCGTCGTACGAGCAACGCACGTAATATCCAACGCTAAATACTTCATGATGTTGATACGCATATGTAGACGTTATCGAATCCTTGTCCATCTTCTCCAGAGTGCACTCCAAGTCGGCGTATACGACAAACGGTACACGTTCCTTACTGCTGTAATTTTTGAAGGTCAGCCACTTGTCCTCACTCGGTAATCTGATGGCGCAGTCGTTCATCTCTCCACAGTCCACAATGTGAGCTTCCAACCTTTGACTCGAACTGAAGTAATGCAAGCATCTGGAAAAATATTTTTTTATATTATTCATAACTTATTATGTAATTTAAAAATTATTATGTAAAAATTATACATACCGATCACAGAAATTTTTTTTCCATTGTGCTTAGTCAACTGCGTGCTTATGAGGCGGGACATATTTTTTATCCACGCAAAATGGCCCACGTCGTCGTCTCCCTGAACGTATAGCAAGTTGACGTGCTTCTCCTTCTTCCGGGTGGTAAGCTGTATCGGTAAGATTTCCTTATTCTCAATGCAATATACGTTGATTGAGATATCGTTTGAATGTTCAAACTTTTTAATCTGATTAAGCGTCACGGGAAACTCAATGTCTTGCACGTTTAGTTCCGTTATATAATCGGGATACGACGATTCTCGGTCTGCGTGTCTTTCAGCTGGATGCAGAGCAGCCACCACTGACCGCGCGAAACACGCATTGTCCTTAGATTGCACGTTAACTACCGCTTTCTTCAGTTTTATTTCTCGCGGTAATTCGACATAACACCCCGCGTGCAGTGGATTGTACATGT